CGAAGACCAGAGACAAGAGGAGGAGGTGGCTGCTGCTGCTGCTCCTGCTGCGGCTGCGACCGCTGCTCCTCCAACAATGGCGGCTGCTGCTGCTGCGGCTGCTGCGGCGGCTGCTCTTGCTCCGGCTGCTACTGCTGCTGCTACTGCTCCTCCAGCCGCTGTAGCTCTAGCTGCTGCCGCTCCAACTCTCTCTCCTCTCGCTCCAACTCCAGCTGCTCCTCACGGGCACGGCGAACACGGGCCTGGTGCCAGGTCGGGTAGGGGTGGGGGGGAGGAGTAGTGTCCGAAGTTGTGGTAGCCAGAGGACCGCTCTCCAAAGAACCAGTCGCACCACCCCCAGAGCCAGCACCACCAGACGTAACAGGGTCCGTCCCAGGCTCTCCAGGTCTAGCAGAGGGCGCACCCCTAGTCGTAGCACCCCTAGGGACAGCTCCACTAACACCAGTTCCCCGAAGACTAGAGTCTCCTGCAGTGACGGGCTCAGCTCAAACTCCAGCACCCCCAGAACCAGGACCTCGCACAGGTACGCTCTCTGCTCCAACTCCAGCACCTCTAGAGCTAGCACCTCCAGGGTCCTCGCCACGAAAACCGGCTCCCGCAGGGTCTGCTGTAGGCTGGGAGGAGAACTGCGGAGAAGGAGGCTGCACCTGAGGGGCTACCGAGGGGGGAGGGGTAGCGTGGGACACACCTGACAGGGCGGGACCAGGGGGGGGGAGGCTGTACCGGGGGAGCAGGAGGGGGAGCTGAAGTCAGGAAGAGAGGGGGAGGAGGAACCGGGAGACCTCGACAGGGGTACTTGATGTAGTAGGGGACGGACTCGTCGAAACGGACGTCACGAGAGTTAAAAAACCGGTGAAGGGGAGGGTGGTAGAAGGTGTAGTCAGAGGAGTCCTCAGGGGAACCAAGGAACATGTAGGGAACATTGCGAGACGAGATCTTGTCCATGGAGGTGTCGCGAACAAGTGCCAAGCAACCCCAGACACGAAAACGCGACGCAGCACCAAGGGACCCGGTCCAAAGACTGGTCAGTGAAACCTCTGGCCGAGAGACACGTGGCCAGAGGTTCAGCTGGTGAGCGGCGTACCGAACCGCGTAGGGCCACAGAAAATGGGGGGCACGGGCGTGAGTCATGGAGGTGCGAGCGATCTCCATGACCAAGCCTATGCGACGCTCAGCACCCCCACGGCCGGAGTGAAGACAGCTGACACGACAACCACGAGTGTCCGCAGAGGTGAGCAACCACCGGATCAGCGTAGAAGTCACGTCGGACTTCTTCGCCAGGGGGAACACTGTGGTGTAGCGGAAGTAGTCGTCAACGACCACAAGAAAGAAACTCTCTCGCTCAGGGCCTGGGCGCGAGGCGGGGCCCCAGACGTCCAAGTGGAGAGTCTCGAAGGGCTCGGTGGCCGGACGAAGGGAGGAGGGGTGAGGGGTGGCGCGCAGCTGACCCTCGACGCAGGGACCACAGGGTGGCGCAAGCGAAGGTGGCAACGACGGCAAGACACGCGGGAGGCCTAAGACAAGACGCTGACTAGACATAGCGCGCAGGCGAGAAATGGACGGGTGCCCCATCCGGTGGTGGCACAAGACAGTGGGGTGGGCAAGCGACCGGCAAGAGCACGACGCAGCAACTGGACCAGACACTGGAACCTGACTAGACACAGCTACCTGGGGAGATACGGCAACCTGGTGAGACGCGGGAAGCTGACGGGGGATAGTGACAGGGGTCGGGGGCAGTAGCTGCTGCTGCTGCTGCTGCTGCTGCCCTCGGGGGCCAGTGTGAAGTGTGTAGAGACCAGAGCCCGGCTTTGCGGTAAAGTTGGCGAGAGGCGCGTATGTGTCCCCGTCGGCACAAACCGCAGTCTCGCCAGAAGGCTCAATCCACACACCCACATGCTGATTCACGAGCGGCCTCACGCCCACCAAGTTCCTCGAGAACGAGGGGACGTGGAAGCCGGTCAGAGAACTGAAGGGAACAGCCAGGCACGGAAGCGTAGTAGTGTAGCGAGCAGTGACTGGTCCCGAAGTGGGATCAGCCAGTGCTACAAAGACCGGCGTAGGAAGCGGGGTAAGTGTCGTGCGGTCGCGGAAGAAACAGTGCGAAGCTCTGGAATCCAGAGTGAAAGAGGGCGAAGCGTCCTCTGGAGCAGCTCCTGGACTAGTGTCTACACAAGTACCTACACTAGCAACAGGCACCTCAGCAAGACTAGCACCTAAGCTAACAACACTCGAGTAAACAGAGTCAGAAGCACTAGAGTCAACAACAGCATACATAGCATGAGGAGTTCATAAGAGATCAACCAACTGAAAAGCCGACATGCCCCACAGAGCGGGGCCGCACGTCTGAACAAGGGGAGGCCAGTCAGGGGCAGGGCCGTCAACGTCGTAGGCCAAGTGAACCATGTGTCAGTAAGCTGAGCAAAGAACCGACCCGGTGGGTGGCTGCGGCCACAAGGCTGGCCGCGGCGGGCACCTGTCAGAACGTGATAGGTGCAGGGAGGGTGGACGACACCGCGCTGCAGCTGATGCTATCCTGACCCCTGCCCCGAAACCTGCTGCTGCCGCTGCTGCTGCTGTGGCTGCTGCGAGGGGAGGGGCTGCTGTTGCTGCTGCTGTCGCTGAGTCAGGTACCACGCCGCTGCTCCACCCCCTGCGGCTGGCAGACCAGTAGGTGGCTGACGAACCCGGGCGTCACCTCCACCAGCTGCAGCAGGGGAGTCACCGGCCGCTGCACGAGGCACTCCTCCAGCCCCTGCACTCCCGCCGCCGCCGCTCGCCACCTCACCCCCACCGCCTCCGCCGCCTCCGCCCACACCCTGACCGCCCCTCCTGCCACTCCTACCCCGAGATCGCGAAGAAGTTGTAACACCAGCTGCGGTCACGTCAGTAGTGGCAGTGGCGAGGGAGGCAGTAAAGGTGGGCAGTTGAGGGACAGTGCACCCGTGGAACAGTGGAGGGGGCACAGCAGTGCAAGCAAGCAGCGCGGTAGCTAGAATCGAGCGAGTGCAGATGAGTGATCAAGTCAGCAGTGCGCTCAAACGAGACGAGGTCAGGAAACAGGAACGGAAGGAACAGGCGACCAAGAGAGACAGTGGTGGGAGTAGCGTAGCGGGCCTTGATCGCAGTCAGGAACTCACTAGCCGTGCGAACCTGAGTGAAGTGGGTCTCCTCAGACTCAGGGAGGAGGCAACTGAGGGCGATGCAGGCCGCAGCGTCACGCTCGCGTGCATAACGGTCACTGTCTGCAGGTGTGGGGTCAGCTGCTAAGGGTGCAGGGCCAGTGGGCTCTGGTAGGTCACCGGAAGCGTGCGCCCACAGAGTCTCGTGTGCCTGAACCTGAATCTCCAGGAGGCGGCGCGCACGCAGGAGCCAGACCGAGAACTCGAGCAGCCTACCCTCAGCGTCAAAGCGCAGGACCCTAGGGGTTGCCATAGCGGAAGCGTAGAGGTGGATACTGCTGCTGCCGAAACCCTAAACGCCTAACGGGCCTGCGTAGGGCGTGACAGACAGTGCGACACGACTGGACAGGACGCGACTGGCAGGGACGGGCGCGACAGGCGCGGATGGGCAGGGCGCACGGGGCGCGACGGACGGGCAGGGCGCAGCGGGGGCGCGACGGACGGGCAGGGCGCACGGGGCGCAACGGACGGGCAGGGCGCACGGGGCGCGTGCGATGGGACGGGACAAGAAGCGCGACGCGGACGGGACGGGACGAGACGGACGGCGCGACGCGACGGGACAGAAGGGACAGCAGGGGGCGACGCGACGGGACAGCAGGGGCGACGGGATGGGACGGGACAGCAGGGGCGACGCGACGGCAGGGGCGACGGGACGGGACAGCAGGGGCGACGGGACGGGACGGGACAGCAGGGGCGACGCGAGGGCAGGGGCGACGGGACGGGACAGCAGGGGCGACGCGACGGCAGGGGCGACGGTACGGGACAGCAGGGGCGACGGGACAGCAGGGGCGTCGCGACGGGACGGGACAGCAGGGGCGACGCGACGGCAGGCGCAGCGGGCGCTAGGGCACGAGAGAGACGAGCGCGATAGGCGCTAAGGGACAGTACGGGCGTAACGGGCACTAGGGTACGGGACAGGCTCGGGCGCTACGGACGTGAACGAGAGGAATGGAATCCCACAGGATCCTAACCTAGGTGATACCATGACATGAAAGTGTTGGTTTGACTAAGGTTGGTTGGGGTAGATAAACCTAACCCTAATATTTGTACCCCCTATAACACACATCACTATGACTACAACATTTGACACAAGGGTGTAGGTGGAGATCTTATGAGTTAGGAGAAAAATGGTGAAAGCTCTTGTTCATTAGTTACAAAACTCAGGCTGCGTCTTTTTAACTACCATGCATTGTGGCCCGCAGGCACGCACACACACACACCCATTCACACATGCACATCCACTCAGACAAACACACACCCACACCCACACCCACACCCACACACACGCACACCTAAATAAATTCAATGAAAAATAACACGGGGCCTTCAACGCTGGTGTTGGAATGAACCTCCAATGACGCATACCCTACGAGGACACCCAAGGAGGCCAGAAAACAATCATGCGCCCTTTCATTGCTTGTAACATGTCCCTCTTGCCATAAGGAAAGAGCCTCGGTTTCTCTCTCTTGATGCATTTGGCTGGGCATGCACCTGTGACCTGCACATTGGGCCACTGGTTGTGTCCCAGGAGCAGCTGTACCTTGAGTTCCAAAAAAGGGGTCAGTGCTTGTCGGTGATTGTGGCATCTACATCCACAACAGGAGGAAGGGCCTTCTGCTTACGCGCTGCAGATGGTCAGACACAGGAGGGAAGAGGAAAGCAGGGAGCAGAGGAAGATAAGTGGAACAGGGAACACACTGCAGAGAATAATGTGAGAGGGATGGAAGAAAAAGCGGTAGGGAAGGGGCAAAGAAAAGTGAAACAACAACGTAGATGGCAACGTCATGGTCATCATCATGACCATCACGACCAACAACTCACCATCCTCCTCCTCTGCTTCGGCAAAGACATCATAGCTGAAATCCACACGCGAGAAGCGTGGACGGTCACGGAGGAACATGCCGTTCTCAACTGCATATTGTGGGGTGTGATCGGATGGGGTGGGGTGGGGTGGGGTGGGGTGGGATGGGGTGGGGTGCGAGCTTGTGCACACCAAGGTGGTTACAGAGAGATGGCGAATGATACAGGATGTGCTTTCCTGGGGAAGGAAGGCGTGTGCTTCGTGCGTGTGCTGATGCGACAGATGATGCCACACAACCAACGCGGAGGATGGATAATGAGATGAGACCAAGGGAGTGAGGCGAGCGTTGAGGGAGGATGAGGATGGAGAGTTGGGAAGAGGTGGAAAACGCGAGGAAGAGTTGGGAAGAGGAGGAAAAGGGGTGGGTGGAAAGGAAGGCATACATCGAAGGGGATGGAAGCACCGAGGACATGCCATCACTCCTTGAAAGAAGTCCCTGGAGATTTAAATGGAGGGGGGGGGGAGGGGAGAGGGAGGGGGGGTGGGGGGCGTCGTGTGGGTGACCAATGCGAGCATGTTTTAGGCACCTCAGAAGACGAATTCTGAGATGGGATGATTTCCAGGCGCCTAGAAATTCGTGAAGGTGACAAATGGGAACACATGGGAATTGCGGAGCGAAAACGAATGATGGGGGTACGCTGATGGGGCGCGGGCACTGACACTAGCAACGTAGGGCAGGGTTTCCTGAATGTGATACCTGTGATAGAGAAACTGGTGGTCGCACCAAGGGCACTAACACAAGCAGGGTACGGCAGGGTAGGGAGTACCAACCAGGGGGCACAGAATGCACCATAGTGCACTGATAGTGCACGCGCGTGCGAGTGGAAGAAAGGGGCATACCTGTGATAGTGGAACTGATGGCCGCACCAAGGACACTGACACAAGCAGGGTAGGGCAGGGGGCATGGTAGGGCGTAGGGAGGGAGAGAATAGACATGTGTGAGTGAGGGAGAGAGGGAGAGAGACACTCACACACACACACTCACACACACACACAGTCCACACCAGCAGAGAGACACAGCGCAGCACAGCACCCTAACCATTCCCCTCTAAAAATATATATTCCCTATTCCCACCCACCTCTTCATATCCCCATCCCTGCCCCCCCCTTCCCTCCCCTCCCCCTCCGCCTCCCCTCCCCCTCCCCATCCACTCCCCTCCTCTTCGCTCCCCGTCCCCTTCCCCCTCCCCTCCCTTCCCCTCCCCTCCCCTCCCCCTCCCCATCCCCTCCCCTCTCCTTCCTCCACGCGCCTCTCACCATGGCGAACGACAGAACCAGCAGCTCCGCGGCGCCTCCAGCAATCCACGTGGCAGCCGTTAGGACCACGTCCAGCAGGATGAAGATGAACTGGCGCACGTGGATGACACGTGGATGACACGTGGGTGGCACGGAGGGGAGGAAAGAGGGGGTGAGGAAGCGCCAGGGAGAGGGAGAGTAGGGGAACAGAGAGAGTGGTGATTGAAAGGGGATGTGAGTGGGAATGTGGTCCCTCGCTTGGATTCGTTGAGAGATTCTTGAATTTTCTGCAACACCGCAGGCAGGCAGGCAGTTTTCAATGCCTTTGTTCAATCCAAGCCCAGCAATTTCAGTTTGGATGATTTTTTTTTTCGAGTTCGATCCAAACCGCAACAACTGATGGTTTTTTTTTTTCAACATCTTCTTCTTTCAGTCAGGGGGGAGAACGAATCTTCCGTCACTTCTCCACTTACTCAATCCCCGGCTCCCTTCGCCCTCCCTCTCTCCCTCTCTCACTCACTCATTCACTCCCTTCCTCACTCGCATCTCCCCCCCCTCACTCACTCGCATCTCCCCCCCTCACTCGCATGCACGCACCCATATCTGCGAGAGCCCATCGAGCACGCGATCGCCCGTGCCGCCCAGCGTGCCGTGAACCACGCCGTGCATGCCGCAGATCGCGCCGAAAACTATGCCCGACAGCCCGAGCCGCCGCACGTCCGCCACGATATCCGCGAGTTTCTTCTGCGGATCGCTCACGCCGCCGCTGCTGCTGCCGCTGCTCGCGCTTCCCCGGTTGCCGCCAATTCCGCCGGCGCCGTTGCCGCTCTTACTGCCGGCGGCGAAGTTTCGGAAGTTGAAGCCGCCATTCCCGCCGCCATTCCCGCCGCCATTTCCGCCGCCTTTCCCGGCGCTGTTCCCGCTTTCGCCACCCTTGCCAAAGCCTTGGAACGACGATGCGTAGTTCTTAAAGCCGTCGAAGCCGCTAAAGCCGCTGTTGCTCGAGGCGCCATTGCTGCTAGATTGAGAACTGCTGCTGCTGCTGCTGCTACTGTTGCTGCCGCTGTTGTCGCTGCCACTACCCTTGCCGCTGCCGCTGTCGCTGCTGGTGCCGGCGTTCGCGCCGTCTCGTGCGGTGTCGGCGGGTTTCGTCCAATTGATGCCGTCCGAGCCAGAGCCGGCGCAGCGGACCGCCAATGGCGACCCCCTTAATCTGCAAACGGTACGGGAGCAGAAAAGGCAGCAGAGAAATTGGTTAAAAGCAATTCAGAACGGTACGGAGAAGGCGAGGGGGAGTGATAGCTGGAAGACGGGGGAAGAAGTTGGGGGAAGGGAGGGGCAGCGCAGCATACCTCAAGAGCGGTTGCCGCCCGCAGGAAAGCGGGCGGCCCGTCCCCGCGCGCACACCTCCGCGCAACACACCGCTTCCGCTTCCGCTTCCGCTGATCACTGCTCCCGATCCTTCCGCTCCCGAGCTAAGCGCTCGCGACGGCGAGATCCGTAGCGCGTCCCACGGCAGTAGCCGCGGCTGGGATCCGACGGACGACGACGACGAGCGATCACGTAGAGAACTTGCCATGTGAAAGCAGCAGCTAGAACAGCAGACGGAGCCGCTCCGCCGAGCCGCCGTTCTCGCGTCGGCGACCGACCTTCTGCTTGATAACCTGGCTACTGCCACATCATAAGGCCCTCTCGAGTCCAAATGCGTGTGGCGTGATATTACTGGCAATGGAACCGCGCGGTCGGCGGAAGCGGGCAGGGGAAGGGGCCGCGCGAGAGCTCCTGCTCGGGGTTCGCCCAGCCGCGCAACCCCGAGTTCCGCGCATACAGGCGCCATGTGGTGCGCGGAACACCGGTATGATAGCCTTTATCGCGTGAGTCTGTAGGGATGTGCCAACGACGGGGGGTTTGCCTTCCTGGAGGAAAGGAAGACGTAGACTATCCGGCTTCTCGACGGCCAACGATGCGCATGAATGTGTTGAAGATGTCTCACGCGTCTTCGCGACTGCGCCAGGAAATCAAAGAGGCGGAGCTGGTCGCAGTGCCTGGTAGGCGATAAGACACGAGCCCACACCGCGAAACAGCTTGTGCTGTTTCCGATGGGCAAATAAGCTGGCTGCACTAAAACAATCAGTGGTGGTCGCACCGTCCTAGGATATGTTATGAATGTGATGAGTGGGCAATGTCGCATTTACACTCCTGTACTGCTGCTGTGCTGAGTCCTCCTGACTCCCTCGCTATCTTTCAGTGGTGGGGTGATGCATTTGCGAGGAAGATCGTGCGCGAGGAATAGTAGTGTACGGCTAGGTTGGGGGGAGTGAGCGAGGCTGTAGTGTAACAGGTTTGAATTTGTCGTTACCACAACTGTCGCCCATTTTCGCAGCTCCTTGTGCTTTTCCGCAATTCAGTGCGGTTAGGTTTGCGTCTTGCGTATTATCGTGGGTTCCAGTGCGGTGAATTCTGTTAAGATTCAAATGGATAGTCTAGCAACACTTCGTGCAATGCAACCGAGGGAAGGGAAAATGGCGGGAAGATGCGAAACGAATATTTCTTACGTGGCACAGCTTTCGAGCCTATCATAATGCTCCGTAACACAAGGGAGGCTTGCCCCTCGGCTGCTATGATGTCATGTCTTGCAACCTGTCAGTGTTTCAGATAACGATGACTGCAAGTTCATGCATCCATGTACGCACCCCAAAGTGAAATGCGCACTTTCACTCTTCACTCAATAGGGGATATGCTTATACAGCATTGTATCCATAATTGTGTCGCTTCCACACAGAACAGCTAAGATTCTATGCATGCGTCCTTTTGTTGTATTGAAACTAATGAAATCCATATTTTTTAATATCTTTATTATTTCGTACTGTACCTAAAGATATTTTGGTGTGTAGTCTACATTAAGTCCTTCAAAAATCTAAGGGCGATGAAGTTCGCGTATGTAGCGGGATTGTTTTTTCGCTAATTGTATCGAGTCACCACCTAGCAGCTGTCATGCAGCTCATTGACGCCTCTGACTTATCACTGACACCCTCGGTTCACTGGAGGGATCTTTCCGCATGTCAAGGGTATCTAGCCAGTCATTTAAAGCCGCGGTGCAACTTCTTAGGAACAGTAGCAGGACAAAAACTGCTTGTGCGTAATTGGACTTCTATTGGTCGAAAAAACTCGAGTTTCGCAACAAGACAAACCTCTCGCCTGCGAACTGCCTAGGTCAACCTCTTCCAAGCTATAATACTTTGAAGTTGAACTTGATAGTTGCACCGCGGCTTTAACGCTGTTAGCGCGGAGGAGCCAGCGTGGTTTTGTAACAGCCTCGTCAACGACACGTGGCGGTAAGGTCAAGTAGCCGCCACCCTGTGTTTTTTGCTTTGCTTTGGGGATTCTGGTTGGGTGTGAGGCAATGGAGGGCATATCAGCCAGCTTCCCCGAGGAAACACCGAACCGGGAAGGCAGTCTGGTTGGGCCAAGCCACAGTCGCTCCGTCAATCTGACACACGCCAGGCAAAACCTGATCATTTTTAGGTCCATTCCCATGCGCTCTCCATCGGCCATTGATCTCCGCTCCCTCATTCACATCACACCAATGGCTCGCCGTCAGTCAAGTCAATCGGCTGGGCACACCGCCGCCACACTGAACATCCCCAAGCAAAAACCGAACCAAATTCTATGAAAGACAACACAGTGGCAAACGTACCCGTTTGCCTCGTCAGCTGAACTCCACCCCAGCCTGAGTCCTCCTGACCCCAACCCACCTCCCACCCGCCCACTCCCCGCAAAGCGTAGGTCCCGGACCGGGAAACCGGAAGTGAACAGAATCGAACAGCCCTCGACCAATACCCTGATCGCTCGTTGCGCTCTTGGCTGGATCCCCACAGCATGACACCGAGGCAAGCCATGGCATGCCATGGATCCAACCTCCATGTCCTTCCTTCCGAACCGACCTTCCTGCCTAGGTGCGAGTTCCGAACTTCCGAACTCCCTTCCGAAATATCCCTTGCTTCCTCCATTCCACCTCCTCTGTCACACACTCGCACATCTGTCACATATCTGTCCCACATCTCACACATCCCTTGCCATGTCACATCTCGCAGGGAGCTTCCTTCTTCCCAAGCTACTGTGCCTTTGGTGTGCCAACTTTTTGTCACGCGATCTTGTGGCTAATCATTCTTTGCAAGCAAGGTTCTTGCAAGTGTCTGCGGGTCAACCTATTTCAGCGTGACGAAGTCACACGCCTCCTCGAGTGGTAGAGTTATGGCTGGTCAAGATTTAAGTCTCTGGAGAGTGATGATTATGGCCGTGGTTTCATTTACTATTAACAACTAAAAACCTTAACTTAGTGAAGTCCCTGGACTTACCATTGAACCTAACCCCTGTACATTCAAGGCGATCGTTTTTGCCACCGCTACAACCTGCTCCTCTCTAATGCTCTCTAATGCTTAATTTAGGCGCTGTTCGCCATTAGCTCAGTCGGCCGCATACCTGCAGTTCAGATACGAGCGATTAGACGTTCGATACTTGACTGGTCGTTGCTGGGATTTAGAACCGCCTTGTTTCTTGAAGTGTTCACGGAGGGACAAGCGAGGTTGAAGATATCGACTTTGGAGTGCGGGAGCACGTCCAGCGGTGGTTAAGAACAAGTTCTTGAAGCCGCGTAGTCCACAAGTGAGCGAATCAGTGGTCAGTGAAGAACAGCTGATTCAAGCTAACATTTCTGGTTGTGGTATCCCCGCTCACTAACCCGGACCAAGGATCCAGTTCTCCAAACGCATAGCGTTTCTCCGTCAGCCATGGGTGCGGAGTTCTCGAAACACGTGGATCGGCTGTTGAACGAGGCGGAGGCGTACCAGCTAGCAGTGCAGTCAACCTTTTCAGAGTACGCCAAGTTGCCTCCAGAAAGCGTGGTACAAGGAGGAGGGGGAGGGGGAGGAGGAGGAGGCGAGTCTGCCGTTGCAGGCACGAGAGCAGCGACCAAAGAAGGATTCGCCGCGAAACGACCAGCCACAGCGGAGGATGATGTAGGCTCAGTGTCGCCTTCCCCTGCTCCGCGTTCGGCGGTTGCTGCTGCATCTCCTGGGGTGGAGCAGCGTTATCTGTTGGAAGCAGCACAAGTCGTCATCAAGGTGCGAAGAATCCGTTCTCCGTTCTCCGTCGCTGACTCTGATTTCTATAATCCCCGTGCGTCGTGTTCATTTTCTCACCGCTTGCTCCCATCTGCTCCCATCTGCTCTGATGCACTGACCCGCTTTCCTACACCACACTTCATGCACCTTTCCCTTCCGCTCTCAGAAAGTATCTGCTAAGATGGATCCTCGGGCCAGCCGTCTGTGCCTCCGTCCCCCCACCAAACGCGACTGCGAATACGTCCTCTTCCTCTTCCCCGCGCTCGCGGCCTCCGCCTTCCTGTCCCTGCCTCAATTCGAGACTTTCGTGCGCGCGGTCGTCAAGCGCGTGGCCGTGGACAAGGGCCGGAGACTGCTGCTGTTCGTGGCGGGAGGGGTGATGATGGTGCATACCATCAAGGGGACCATCCGCAAGCTGCCTCTGGTCGGCGCGCCAGTGGCGATGGTGGTTGGAGCGGTGTTTCCCACGTCGGTCGTGGGCCCGGCTGTGGGGGTAGCAGGGGCGCTGATGGTGGAAGAGCGGAAGCGGCTTAGGTGACAAGGAATTTTAAAGAAACGCTGAATTGATTGGGGGTCGGGGAGGGGAGGGGTTTAGAACAGGAGGTGAGGAGTAGAGGGCGGCAAAGGACGAGGAGAGGGATGGTGGGAGCGTTCAGCTGAGGGGTGTGTTCAGTTAGACTCGGGAAAGGGGAGCTGGGTGGGGAAAGGAGGGGGAAATGGGTGTCAAAGGAACGCTGCTGTGGGCGTAAGGGTCCCAGAGGATTTAGTTTAGGGGTCGCAAGGGAAAAGGGGCATTGGAGGAGTGTTGAGGAGTGAGTGCGGAGGTTTGGAGACAGACAAGTGAGCTGTGTGCAGTACACTCCTTGTGTGCGTGCTGATGGTATACTGTGTCTGTTTACGTTGGGGAGTTGGAAAGAGGGCATCTGTGTGCGTGGATGAGTGCACTACATATCTTTCTCACTCTTGCACTCTCTCTCTCTCTCTCTCTCTCTCTCTCTCTCTCTCTCTCACACACACACACACACACACACACACACACCCTCCCTCTCTTTCTACCTTCCTCTCCCACTCCCTCACACCCTCCGACCCACTCCCACCCACCCCCTCAAGCTTTCATTTCCTTCTGCCTCCCACCACCTCTCTGTCATTGCCATCTCCCATATCCCTTTCATCCCTCTCTTGGTTCGCTTGGGTCCTGCATTCTGTGAGCTGCGCATTTGCATTTGTGCCTTTATTAGCAATCAATTCACATGGTTTGAGGAAGCAGACTCAAGAACAGCTTCTAGGCCAGACTCCATCTCTCATGTCCAACGACCCTCCATCAAGCTTACTCACCTCACCTCACCAGTCACCTCACCACCCGCATCCATAGCCTTTTCTGTTTCTGAGTCTGTTTTTGCCGTCGACTCAAAGACAGACTCATCTCTCATGCGCAACGACCCTCCATTAAGCTCACTCACCTCACCTCACCAGACACCACCCCCATCCACAGCCTTTCCGCAAACCTCAAGCATCTATGCTGCTTGACCATCCCGCTCGAAGACATACAGAGAGGCCCTCTGTTTGTCAGGGAAAGGAGTGCTCAAGTCAAGCTGCTAGCTGTGTCAACGGCAGCTTCTTCCAGAGGTTCATAGCCACTTACAGAGCATCATCTGTTCAGTCTTGCCTGATATGGCCTCAGGTGTACCGTACCTGCAAAAGACTTAATCTTATATGCCTGGAGTCATTGACTGTCCTTAGGGATCAATTTTGGATTCTTTGCCCCTTTTTGGAATGAAATATAGGCATGTTGAGTGGACAACACCCGAATTGCTGAATGGAGTCAATGCGGGAAAAACAGGTTCGGTAAGGCAGGGAATTGGAGGTTCAGAAAAAAACTGGGGCCAGTTTGTGAAGGCCTTTCTGTAATTCAGGGGCTGGGTTTTAAGCCCCCTTTTTCCCTCAATCGAAACTGCTAGCCTTTTATAATGCACTGAAACACAGTAGGTACACCGAGTCCTCGCCAATTTCACGCTCCCTGAGATTTTCCATAAATCACCCTTGACCGTTTAGGGCCGTTGCCGTGTGTTTTTTTTTTTTTTTTTTTTTTTTTTTTTTTTTTTTTTTTTTTTTTTTTTTTTTTTTTTTTTTTTTTCCTTGCTGACTCATGCGGGTGGTCACGAACATTTTCCTACTTAAAGCCTAAGCATTCCGAATGACCCCCGATTTCGGGTAAACCATAAAGGATTGCTCAGGGGTGTGAAATTGGTGGGATTGAAATTGGCGAGGACTATGTGTAATGTTAGCTCCAGCAATCTCGGGTATTCACCAATCACCAGAGAGAGAGTCAGCACGAGAATGCTCTGACCAAAGCCGCCAATAATTTCCAGCCGGGCACGGCACCGCATGGCAGGTCATACAGCTCGGCGCTTTCCCTCAAATACGTCACATCAGCCGGCGGCTATTCGCTGTTGTCAGTCAGAACGCGCGGACCGTGTCACTCCACGTCAGACCAGCGTTCCCGAAAATGACGGCTCGTCACGCCAGAAATTTGTGGGTCATATGACTCATCATGCTCACTCCCCTGCGGACATTGTTGACCAGCACCAGCCAATGGTTCTTCCCCGAGACATGGTCGGAAACCTGTGTTCTACCCCACCCGATCGTAGGCCTTCCCGATATTTATTTCGCGCTTGTTTTCACACCAGTCCTGCTTTGAAGAAAGCCTAGTGTACATTCGAAACACCTAGTGCAGGGTCAATTCTTGTAAATCAGGGCAGTAAAAACTTGTTGTTTTCGACAAAATCCTGGCCTTTCCAAATCCGGGGGTGAAACCAGTCCAGTCGAGAGTGTTGCAGAGCAAAGAGCAAGGAGTGGTGTAAAGGCGGCTGTTGGTTATGGAGTGACTCACGGGCACGGGTCACCTCAGCTGAAATTGTGGAGCAGCAGCACAAGTCAGGATGTGGATTGATATACCTAGATAGTTCCGTCCGCATTCAATCCTTCATTTTACATTCCTTCCGCCGACCTTTCTCTTCGACTTTTTTCTAGTCGTTTCCAGTTCCTTCTGCTTTCTCGAAGTAGTGGTGTCCACATAGTGGTTCGCAAGCGCGGGAAGTACATAGTGCTCAAGCATTCCTAAGATCGGCATGAGCCTACGTAGCCATTTGTCAAACCTCAGAAGGTCGATATTTAATCCGATACTGAATCGGCAAAGGTGTGACTAACGCCGTCAGCACGACTCGTGAGGCGGCGACCGAATAAAGTGCTATCCCAATAGAAGAAATAATTGCTTCTGAAGTTAGCCTTTCCCGTGTTCATCGGAATAAGAAGCGACGTTTCAAACGTCCGTCCAGTGACAGTGTCCGTGCCTAGATAAATCTGTGAAATCTCCTCCCAAGGCTGCATGGTTCCTTCCGCGCTTCAGAGTCTGCTGGCTCGCCCTGCATCGCGCAGCCAAGTCCGTGACTTTGGTAATGCCATTGGTGCATACTTGAGCGATGGTTCACGATTCCGTGTTTCTCGTGTTTCCTTGTTATCTTTTCGGAAGGAATGTGTGTTGTCAACCAAAGCATGCCGCATCATTTGCCGCTTGTCTTCCGCATGAACGATGGACATTATTTGACCCATTTTGTTCATCAATATAACTCAGACTCATATTTTGCCTGTTCGTCTTCCGCCCGGCACTCCACCTTTCGTGAATCTCAATAATCCGTAAAACCCGTCTTTTTTTCTATATTCTCTCAACCGGTGTCACTCGTTTTTCTTCCAGATGATGCATCAGCGGAGGCTTCCAAGGCCGTCCAACGACAGGCGACATCGACATCGGCATCGGAACCATCGCATCCACCTAGAGTAGTCGCTTCTTACGAAGGCGATGGCCTTATTTGGAACTGCCCTCTCGCTCCTCATCCCACCGGTACGAATCAATCAATTAGGTAAATCCATCTCTCGTCCGCCGTTTGATACCACCATAAAGGTCTTGACGCCTGTCCGACGTACTGCGAATGTTGTTCAGCACAGACGACGAATGCGTACGTTGAACTCCTCGTATCATCTCTCCTCCCTCCTTCCCTCCCAATGCTGCCATGCTGCCACAGGCGAGGTGTCAATGGCTCTCGCGGACGGTAACGTCGTGTGTGAGGACTTCAGTCGGGTGGACGTGGGCTCCTTCGGTACGCTCGTCGGCGTGTTTGACGGCCATGGCGGCCCGCACGCCGCGCGATTCGCGGCGGACAGCCTCCTCGGCCACGTGCACCGTGAGTTTTCGCCGCGTTTCGTTTGAAGGGCGGCCGCGCCGTCGTGAGTGAAGCCGCAAAGAATGTGCGTCTTTTCCGTCTCCGAACCGATATTTATTTCGTCCTAATGATCTGTCTGTCTGTCTGTCTGCCTTGTTGTCTTTCCCGAGCAGGCGCGCTCGGAACCGGGCCCTTCCAAGAGGCAGAGGAGCAAAGCCGTGGGGCCAGCGTGGGGGGAAGAAGCGTGCACGATGGGAATGGAAGCACGCATGGTGGTGGCGGTATGTGTGGTCGAGAAGGAGGCGGAGAAGAGAACCTCCCAAGGCCGGGAGGTGATGCATCAGCAGCGCGTGCGCGAGATGCCTCTGGGGTGGTCTCCGCAAGCGTACACGGAGTAGCAGCAGTGCAAAGAGAGGCAGCGCGGGAGGAAGCGCCAGCCGCAGCACCAGCAGCGACTCTCGCACCAGGATTAGTAGCAGGAGCAGCAGGAGGGACGACAAAAGCCACGTGTGCCTCCCCGACACCGGACTCCGCCGATCGCATTACCAACGACGAGCAGCGCGCGTGCAGCGCAGTCCTATCCGCGTTCGCGTCGACCGAAGCGGATCTCCTGGCCCTCGTGCGCGCCGCGTGGCACCACCGCCCCGAGCTCGCCAACACGGGCACCTGCGCGCTCGTCGCCTTCTTCCCCGCGCACGGCGCCTCCCTCGTCGTCGCGTCCCTGGGCGACTCGCGCGCCGTGATGGGACGGAGGCGGCCGCGAGTGGGAGGGCTGCTGGAGAGCACGCAGAGTGCGTTCGGTGGAATGGGGATGGGGCTGGGCTGGGGAGCGGATGTTGGTGGGAGTGGGGTTGGGAGTGGGAGTGGTGGCAAGGGGAAGGGGTGGCGAAGCAAGGGGAGGTTTCCCAGCTGGGGTGGTGGTGCGACTCATTCTCAAAGGAGCAGCTCCAGCAACAGCAGCAGTGGTGGTGGTGGTAGCGTTGGTGGTGGCAGTGGTGGTAAAACTCGTTTAGTGAGGATTGATAGTGCAGCCAGTGACAGCAGTCGCGCCAGCAGCGGCAGCTGGAGCAGCAGCAGCAGAAGCGAGAGCATGAACAGTGACTTGGGTGGCGCTGGTGGTGCTGGTGGTGGTGGTGGTGGGGCGATGGGGTTTCTGAGCAGGTGGTTAGGTGGGGTAACAGCCGTTTCTCTATCCGAAGAGCACAACGCAAGCCAGGAGCGGGAGCGACACCGGCTGCAGCAGAACCACCCGGGAGACCCCACAGTCGTCATGCACCGCAACGGAGCGTGGCGCGTGAAGGGAATCATCCAAGTCACGCGCTCTCTAGGCGACTTCTACCTGAAGCACAAGGAGTTTCAGCAGCCGCCGCTGCCCAGGAGGTTCCGTTTGGATCATCTGGGGTCGCCGTCGGGTGTTGCCCTGCGCCGGCCGCTGCTGAGGAGTGACCCGAGCGTGGTGCATGTGCGGGTAGGCGAGGAGGACCGGTTTGTGATCCTGGCGTCCGACGGCCTGTGGGAGCATGTGAGCCGCGCGGAGGCTGTCAAGATGGTTGACTCGCGCCCAAGACAGGTGCGCACGGGCTGGGGTGGATGGGGGGGGAAAGGGGAGGGGGACAAAGGGTCAGAAAGGGTGGGGAAAGGGGGTTCTTGGGGAAGACGGAAAAGGATGGCTGGAAGGTTTCGGGGCGGGTTTGTTTGGGAGGGAGCTGGCGAGCCTAATCCGAGTGCTCTGACTGACTAGAAGCTGCTCAGAGCTTAACTCAGTTGTTGAATTCGACTTGCACCAGGCATTTACCAGCTAATGTCTCCTTGTCGTTGTTTCCTCTGTCGTTTCCTGTGTGCCTCAGGGCATTGCACACTACCTTGCCCGCACGGCCGTGTCGCGAGCAGCGCGTAAGGTGGGGCTGACGCTGCTGGAGCTGCGGCTGCTAGACCCTGTGCACAGGCGCAAGGTGTATGATGATATCACAGTGGTTGTGGTGTTCTTGGACAAGCACTGCCATGCAGCTGCTGGTGCTGATGCTGGTGTTGGTGCAGGTACAGTTGCAGCTAAAGGTGCTGTTGAAGCTGATCTGGCCGTGGCGGAGAGGTTAGGAATAGGTGCAAGTGCTGCTGCTGACGCTGATGCTGCTGCTGCTGCTGTTTCGCTTCCTAACGGTGGCGATGCTGTGGAAATAGGAGAGGTGGGGAGTGCTGGTGGCAGCGAAAGGCCTGCAAGTGTGAGCAGCAGCAAGAGCAGCAGCAGTGAGAGCAGCAGCGATGGCATTGAGATCAGTGGGGTGGACAGTGTCAAGCTCAGCAGCAGCAGCTCCAGCAGCAGTGCGGTTTCCCCTGAGACCTTATCACCCCGATCGCCTGAGTCCAACCCAAGTGCTGTAGTGTTATCTGCAACCGCTGTTGACGACGCTCCTGTGGTGCCACTGCCACCGTCTCCCGTCCAGGCGGGTGTGACGAGAGGAGCAGCACCGGTAGTTGAGGTGATGGCACGTGGTTCAACAGCTGTGCTCTCCATCCATGGTTGCTGGCAGTGAGGGGGGCCAGGGGGGGTCGAGGGGGTAGGTGTTGCGGGTGGTGTCTTGTTTGTGAGACTTGTTGAGTGGAAGTTGAGGGTTTTTGGTCACGAGGCTGTGTAAAGGGCATAAGGTTTTTGGTCACGAGTCGTTGCTGCTTTTCTTTTAATGTACTTAGTAGAGTTTACTGTGTATTGTTATCAATCCTAATGCACAGCACTCATGTGAAAGGTATTTTAATGTGCCTTGCACTATGGGCAGTTCTTGGTTACCAGAGTTATTGACGCGTTGTCCTGTTATCATTGATGACTGAATGCTGTATAATATCAATCACCCAACAGTTGTAGATGTTTTCATGCTTGGTGGTGACTGTGCGTGTTAGCGAGGCCTTTGTTAGGAACCAACCGCGTATATTCCCAAATTCAGTTTTGATTGGATGCAACAACGAAATTCCGTGGTTATTTGAGGAAATCAGGTGAGGGACTGGGGTTTTGGGAATTCCACACGTCAGATTCCAGTGTGCATCGACGGTGCCTATCACCATATCATGCGTTATGATTGGCAGATCTAACAACCTCAATCGACATAGTTGAGATTGAGAAGCAGTAAGTGCGGTTCAGAAAGGTGCTAGGGCAATTGGCGGGATAACCTTCTCAATGTCGGTGGACAGGCAGTTATTGTCTCGGTCGCGCCGAACATGCTCTCTGTTTGACCCTAGCCCGACACATCGAAGGAAACAGTTTACAGCGGTTAGGGGATTCTTCGTAAGGTTAAAACCCGCAGCCTGAATTACAAAAACGAGTCAACGCTTGGTTTGGGAAGAGGTTGGGGAGAGGTTCGGGTGGGTGGGTGACACTTTCGGGTGGCGAAACCAATTTGCGAACACACAGGTGTCGCAACATTGAATCTGGGCGACGGAAACCAATACGATGGGGAAGGGATGTGACCTACAGAACCTCCGTCGACAAAAAACCAGCACACCATTACTAGCTACTAACTTAGACACAGAAATTATCGAATCTTAGTTTCCTCCACTCGGCAGCACACAAATTCAGTAGCTACATTGCGCGAACATTCTTACATTAGGATTTTATAGCGAACACACTTCAGACAACCGGAATCCCTATGTGCAGCGTGGCCACGCAATCGAAGCACGGAGAATAGGCGTGAGGAGATGAGAAATTAGCGCTTTGCCCACCTCGCGACCCTCGCCCATCGCCCACCCACCGCCCGTCGCCCTCGCCGCCTAGCCGCCCGTCGACCTCGCTTCCCTCGCCCATCGCTCTCGCTTCCCCCGCCAGTCGCTCTCGCTTTCCCCGCCTACCTCCCTCGCCTCGCCCGTCCCCCTCGCTGCTTCCCCGCCCGCCGCCCTCGCTTCCGCCCGTCGCCCTCGCATCCGCCCGTCACCCGCCCTTCCGCCCACCGTCCTTCCTTCCCCTCGTCGCGCTCCCTTCCGCCCGTCGCCCTCCCTTCGTCTTGTCGCCCTCCCGTCCTCCCGTTGCCTTCCCTTCCGCCCTCCGCCCTTCCTTCCCCTCGTCGCGCTCCCTTCCGCCCGTCGCCCTCCCTTCGTCTTGTCGCCCTCCCGTCCTCCCGTTGCCTTCCCTTCCGTCCTCCGCCCTTCCTTCCCCTCGTCGCGCTCCCTTCCGCCCGTTGCCCCCCTTCGTCTCGTCGCCCTCCCTGCCGCTCGTCGCCCTCCCTGCCGCTCGTCGCCCTCCCTGCCGCTCGTCGCCCTCCCTGCCGCTCGTCGCCCTCCCTGCCGCTCGTCGCCCTCCCTGCCGCTCGTCGCCCTCCCTGCCGCTCGTCGCCCTCCCTGCCGCTCGTCACCCTCCCTCCCGCTCGTCCCCTCGCAATCCCCGTCTATCTCTCTCCCCCGCCGCCCTCCCATCCACTCCTCGTTGCCCTCGGCATCCCTCCCTTGCTCCCTTCACATCTCGCACACTTGTCACGCCCCCTTTCCAACCCGCACTTACACCCTTCCCTCTCCCCAATAATCGCCTTTCACCCCCACACAGCTTACCTCTCTTCCTCTTCCCCCCATCAATTGCCCTGCTCCCCACCGTCCTCCCCCCAGCTCTCTCCCCGGCATCTCTCCCGCTCCCCACGTCCTCTTCCCTGTTTCCCCGTATCCCCTGCAATGCTTCCCCCAAACTTCTTCCCTGTTTCGCCGTATCCCCTGCGCTGCTTCCCCCCATTCTCTGACTTGCTTCCCCCCATCCCTTTCCCTGCTCCCCCCCGTCCACTCCCTTGCCTCCCCCCATCCCCGTCCCTGCTTTCCCCCATCCCCTTCCCTGCTTCCCCCCGTCCCCTCCCCTGCCCCCCCCCATCCCCTTCCCTGCTTCCCCCATCCCCTTCCCTTCTTCCCCCCATCCCCTTCCCTGCTTCCCCCCATCCCCTTCCCTGCTTCCCCCCATCCCGTTCCCTGCTTCCCCCCATCCCCTTCCCTGCTTCCCCCCATCCCGTTCCCTGCTTCCCCCCATCCCGTTCCCTGCTTCCCCCCATCCCCTTCCCTGTTTCCCCCCATCCCCTTCCCTGCTCCCCCCCATCCCCTTCCCTGCTTCCCCCCATCCCCTTCCCTGCTTCCCCCCATCCCCTTCCCTGCTTCCCCCCATCCCCTTCCCTGCTTCCCCCCATCCCCTTCCCTGTTTCCCCCCATCCCCTTCCCTGTTTCCCCCCATCCCCTTCCCTGCTTCCCCCCATCCCCTTCCCTGCTTCCCCCCATCCCCTTCCCTGCTTCCCCCCATCCCCTTCCCTGTTTCCCCCCATCCCCTTCCCTGTTTCCCCCCATCCCCTTCCCTGCTTCCCCCCATCCCCTTCCCTGCTTCCCCCCATCGCCTTCCCTGTTTCCCCCCATCCCCTTCCCTGCTTCCCCCCATCCCCTTCCCTGCTTCCCCCCAACCCCTTCCCTGCTGTCGACCTCGCTTTCCCCCTCCCGTCAACCTCGTTTTTCCACTCCCGTTGACTTCACTTTCCCCCGTCCGTCGCCCTCGTTTCCACTCCCCTTGCTCCATCTGTTTCCCCTTGCTCCATCTGTTTCCCCTTGCTCCATCTGTTTCCCCTTGCTCACTCTTTTTCGCCCTTCTCACACTCTTCCCCCTCCTCTTTTTCCACCTTGCTCACTATATTCCCCACTACTCACTCTCTTTCCCTCTGCTCACTATCTTCCCACCAGCTCACTCTCTTCCCCCCTCCTCACTATGTTTAGGGTTGCTCACTCTGTTTCACCCTTGCTCGCTCTGTTTCACCACTGCTCCCCACCCCCCTTCTCTTCTCACTCTCTTCCCCCTTGCTCACTCTCTTCACTTCTGCTCACTCTGTTTCCCACTGCTTCCTCTCTTCCCCCCTTCTCACTCTGTCCCCCGCTGCTTCTTCTCTTCCCTTCTGCTCACTCCTTTTACTGTCTTTTCCCCTTCACTCACCCCCATATCCCCAATGCAGGGTACAGGTGTCCAGCACCAGATGTTGTGGCTTTACCACGGCCTGGTTCATTGATTGCAGTGTAGCAGACAAAACCAGGAAGCAACATTACATTCCCCCCAGATTTGTGCTCTTATAAAATTGAGTGATTCCCCTTGTTCCGTACAAATAGTACTAGTATATTATTTGTTGGACCCCTAGCTAGTGGTCATGTGTTTGACTGCTCCGAAGCTCATAATGCCGTATCATACAAAACTATCCAATACATGGCATGTCTATACGTCGTTTAGTATCAAACAGCCAACACATCACAACCAGAGTGGGTGACGATGGGAGGGGAGTGAGCGTGGGCGACGGGAGGTGAGTGAGCGTGGGCGACGGGAGGGGAGTGAGAGGAATAGAGGTTGGGAGGACAGGAGGGATCTGCCATTACACCATGCCCTTCCACAGGGCCGAGAGTGGTGTGGGAGACACCTGGAGAGGCGTTGGAGAGGAGCGGATGGGGAAAGGACGGATGGGGAGAGGAGAGATGGGGAGAGGATGGATGGAAAGAGGAGGGATGTGGTGAGGAGGGATGGGTTTGGAAGAGGAGGGGATGGGGAGAGGACGGGAGGTGGTGGGGAGAAGATGGGACGGCGAGAGGAGGGGATGGGGAGAGGAGGGGACGCGGTGACGGGGGAAGAGGAATGAAGAGGATGTGAAAAGGAGGAGAAGAAGCAGAGAGGAGAGAGGACGGGGTGGAGGTGACGGGGAGGTTGTGGGATGGGGTGGGGCGGAATGAGGTGAGGCAGAATGGGGTGGGGCAGAATGGGGTGGGGCGGAATGGGGTGGGGCGGAATGGGGTGAGGAGGAGATGGTGTGAGGAGGAGATGGGGTGAGGAGGAGATGGGGTGTGGAGGAGATGGGGTGAGGAGGAGATGGGGTGTGGAAGAGATGGGGTGTGGAGGGACGGGGAGAGGAGGGATGGGGAGGTGAGGGATGGGGAGGTGAGGGATGGGAGGATGAGGGATGGGGAGAAGAGTGATGGTAATATGAGAGACTGGGAGGAGAGGGATGGGGAGATGAGGGATGGAGAGGGAGGGGATGGGGAGGTAAGGGATGGGGAGGCAAGGGATGGGGAGAGGAGGGATGGGGATGTGAGGGATGAGGAGGTGAGGGATGGGGAGAAGAGGGACGGTAAGATGAGAGACTGGGAGGTGAGGGATGGGGAGATGCGGGATGGGGAGGTGAGGGATGGGGAGATGCGGGATGGGGAGGTTGGGATGGGGTGAGGCGGAATGGGGAGATGAAGGATGGGGAGGTGCGGGATGGGGAGGAGAGGGATGGGTGGGAAGAGATGGGGAGGCGGGGATGGGGAGTTGAGGGATGGGGAGGGAAGGGATGGGGAGGCGGGGATGGGGTGAGGTAGAATGGGGTGAGGCGGTATGGGGTGAGGCGGTATGGGGTGAGGCGGTATGGGATGAGGCGGAATGGGATGAGGCGGAAGGGGATGAGGCGGAAGGGGATGAGGCGGAAGGGGATGAGGCGGTATGGGGTGAGGCGGAGTTGGTGGCTCTCAAGATGTCGCTGCGCCCCCGACTCAGCTTGAAGATAAGCCTGTGACAGCGGTGTTGCGGGTCGCACGCCAACACTCTTCTGCGGTGTTGGGGAGGGGAGGGATGGGGAGGTGAGGGATGGGGAGGTGAGGGATGGGGAGGTGAGGGATGGGGAGGTGAGGGATGGGGAGGTGAGTGATGGCGATGCACATTGGAATTTCTCCTCTGCCTTGCTGTACGCTGCGTGCGCTGGATGGGGAGGTGAGGAAATGGGGAGAGGATACTAATGGCATGGAAGCTCTGGGCTGTCTCACCTCGTGCAGGGAGGGCGGGAAGGCTCGGGCAGGGGGTGGGCGTGATGGAAAAAAAAAACAATGGAAGGGGAGCTCTGGGCTGTCCCACCCCACCTCGTGCAGGGAGCCACGACTCCAAACCTGCGCCTCTATTACGCCGGCCCCCACTCCTGCCCTCACCCACACTCCTCGCGGCGGAGTGGCGCCGGTTCGGTAATGGCAAGGGGGAAGGGGTGGGTAGGGGACACAAGGGGAAGCTATGGGATGGTAGGCGACGGCTGGGGAGGGTAAGGTAGATGTGGTAAGGGGAGGAATGCCCGCGGAGGAAGGGGAAGTGGGGAAAATAGCAGACAAGGAAGGGACCAGGTGAGGCAGGAAGGGGAAATGGGGAGGCGAAAAGGGGAAATGGGGAGGCGAAAAGGGGAAATGGGGAGGCGGAAAGGGGAAATGGGGAAGCAGAAAGGGGAAATGGGGAGGCGGTAAGGAGAAATGGGGAGGATGGAAGGGGAAATGGGTAGGAGGAAAGGGGAAATGGGGAGGCGAAAAGGGGAAATGGGGAGGCGAAAAGGGGAAATGGGGAGGATGGAAGGGGAAATGGGTAGGAGGAAAGGGGAAATGGGGAGGCAGGAAGGGGAAATGGGGAGGCGGAAAGGGGAAATGAAGAGGCAGGAAGGGGAGGCAGGAAGGGGAAACGAGGAGGCGGGAAGGGGAAATGGGGAGGGAGGAAAGGGAGATGGGGAGGCAGGAAGGGGAAATGGGGAGGCGGGAAGGGGAAATGGGGAGGCAGGAAGGGGAAATGGGGAGACAGGAAGGGGAAATGGGGAGGCAAGAAGGGGAAATGGGGAGGAAGGAAGGGGAAATGGGGAGGCTGGAAGGGGGAAGGGGAGGCGGGAAGGAGAGATGGGGAGGGCGACCTCACATGCGGCTGCGGCGACTAGTTCGAAAACGGCGTCGTTGGGAGGTTTCGCACGCAAGCGGCGAATCTGAGCGTGCGAGAGCACGCTAAACCTCAGCAGTGTGCGGCGCTGTGAGCGCGTTCACGGTGGCGTGAGGAGGCAGCGTGGGGAGGCGACGCCGCGACGGGTCGTCGAGGTGAGGCAGCTCGGCGCGGAACGGCGAGGCCGCGAGCTGGGGCTTGATGCGGCGGCGATTTCCGGCGAGCCGATCATGCAAAGGAAGGCGAGGCGAGACAGCGGGGGGAGGCGACGAGGCTGCGGGGAAACGCGCGGTGAGGCCGCGAGGAGAGGCGAGGTGAGTGGCGGGATCGCCGATCGAAAGCGTGAGCGAAATCCTAGGCGATGGCGGACCGGCATATGAACGAAACCTACGCAATAAGCTACGGTGGGGGGGTGACTAGCGGACACGGACTTTATTCGTAGTTACGGAGTCTTCCGCGCGAGATGCGCGAATGGGCTGTCAGAAACTCGACTACATTCAGTAGATTTGACATTGAGTTAGGAATCTATGTGTAATCCTTGGCTGCGTTCTGCGGGCATGGCTCCTTACGGTACGTGCAGTGAAAACGAGATGTAAGGCGCGCGGATCAGCAAGGGCGACTCATCCCGTCGGAATGGAGGCATGGTCCCAGAGCGTAAAGCGGAACCCTAAACCGGCGTGGAAGTCGGCGCGACGACTCTCTTCTAAGCTATGACTGCCCCAAGTTTGGCCCTGAACTCTGCGTTTTTTGTCGACCTGAATTACAGATTTGGATATTGGTGTGCACACCTCAGCCAAGAGTGGTGGTGAGACCCCTGCGATCCTTCCCTACACACCCTGCGACTTTCCTCACGTTTTGAAGGTGAGACCTGGTAACCACCCTGGTTCGGGAGGGGAGGTGTTAACACCTCCCAACTTTTTTTGTAATTCAGGCTGCGGGTTTTAAGTTACATCGAGGTGCACATTGGTGATGTCGACATTCTGCGCTACAAGAATGTCAGTGGTCTGGATGTATCCATGATGGATCCCTTCGTTTCCCCCCACAGAAAGAAGCCCCATTCGCCAGCCAACCAACCAGTGGGGTGCACGGTACTGTAGTCTTTGACTAATGGCCAATGGCTATTTGACTCTCAAGTGGGCTAGCCTGTCTCATGATCATTGCCGCTTGTGGCCTCTTCTTTCCACTTCATTTCCTCAAATTCACCGCCGACGTCACAAATTATTCCCTAATCCTCACAATCGCTAGCGGTTATTCGACTCGCACTGCACATCTGCGGATTGACCTCCTACATTCGCGCGCGCATGCGATCCGCATCTTGCGACGGCTCTGCTTCAGTCTCCCCGGCTCGTAAGCCGCGCGATCTGCGCGCGACACTCCCCCGCGTCGCAAGCGAACGCGCTCAATTAGCCAGGCAGGGGTGCGCGGGATCCGGCCCCTGCTAATACATCTGCTCCGGCCGTTTTCCTCCCGATATTCAAAATCTATGAGGCAGCTCGCACGTTTGTAACTCCGCCGTACCGTTCCAAAACGCCTAATAACCCCTCCTCCAATCCCCCCCAATGAGCGCGTTCACCGGCTCGTCCAATCCCGCGCGTCGAATTGCGCCGCTTTCCACTCAGGGATGGGCTGGCGGTGGCGGAAGGGGAGCGGGGGGCGGCGCGCCCGGAGGCGGAGGCGGAAGTCCGCGTGTGGCGGCAAGGCGGGCCATGCTGCGTCGGCGCGCGTTGGCGGCGATGGCGCTGCTGGTATTGGTGGGCATCGCCGTGGTGCTGCCGGCGTACACGTGGAGCTCGAATCGCAACTCGCGCTCCGAAGCTGAGAGGTGAGCGCTGCGGCGCGGCTCCCAGTCAAGAGCTGCTCGCAGTGAGGCGCAGATCGCCCGGATCTCACTGAACAAGTTATGCCCGTGAAATCCGCCGTGAAATCCGCCATGGATTTGCCTCGTTTCCGACTTGCACCCTCTGATTTCAGTCTTGCATGACGCTGAAATCCAGCTTTTCCTGTTCAATTCCCCTCTCCCTCCACCCCACCAATCCCCCCCCTCCCCCCTCCGTCTTTCTATCCCTCCCCCTCCTTCCCCCTTCCACTTCCACGCCTGCCACACCCCCCCCCCCCCCCCCCACCCCCCCCCCCCAACCCCCCCCCCAACCCCCCCCCAACCCCCCCCCAACCCCCCCCCAACCCCCCCTTCTTCCCCCCTCCCTCCCCTTCCGCCCCACCTCTGGCAGCAGCAGCGTCACCCCGAAGTTGCTTCTCGCTCATATTCTGGGCCTGCCGGAAGGGAAATGCGACCACAACAACAGCAGCAGCGCCGGCGGCGGCGGCGGCCCTGGTGCGCAGTCGGGGGGGGGATTGATGGCGGAGGGAGGAGGCGGAGGGGTGCGGAGTGAGAGGGGAACAGCAGCAGCAGCGGCAGCAGCGGCAGCGGTGGCGGTGGCGGTGGCACGGGGAGCGGGACGTGCAGCAGGGGAGCTGGCGCTTTGGAGGGATGAATTGGAGGACGATGCGGATGGTTATGGTGAGTGGGTTAGTGAGTTTGAGGGAGTCTGAGGGAGTGTGAGGGAGTGTGAGTTAGTGTGAGGGAGTGTGAGTGTGAGCATCCACTGTAATCGCATCTGATCTGAATGCTGTGTGTGTGTGTGTGTGTGTGTGTGTGTGCGCGCGTGTGTATGTGTGTGTGTGTGTTGCCAGAATGAAAGCAGGAAACGAAGAAGCCGTCTCTGGTGCAGGAATTGTTTTGGGAAGAAGAGTTTGAAGAGACCTCAATACAACCTCTCCCCCCTCTTCTCCCCCTCCCCCCTCCCCTCGCTCCGCTGCTCCCTCTAACCCCCATTACACAGCTGAGCGCATGAGCTCCCCTTACATCCCAGTAAGGGGAGGCACCTCATAAGTCTTCCCCTCCTTCCTCCGCTCCCGCCACTCTTCCTCCCTCTAACCCCCACCATGCAGCTGAGCGCATGAGCTCCCCATACATTTTCGAACCATCTGGATATCCCCCTTGGATCTTCCCTGGTGCTGCTGCTGCTGCTGCTGCTGCTGCTGCTGCTGCTGCTGCTGCTGCTGCCACCGCCCCTGCCAACCCCCATGACAACCAGACAGCAGCAGCAGTGGCTGCAGCAGCGGCAGCAGCAGCAGCAGCAGCAGCAGCAGAAGAAGAAGAAGAAGAAGAAAGTGCAGCGGTTGTGCAGTGGAGGAAGGGGTTGGATAAGGCGGATTTGCGGTGCGAGAATTTCTGGGGGGACGGGTTTTCGGAGGTTCACACATTGCTAGGCACGCCCCCTGTGGGCACCTTCCCGCATGCACCGTGGGACGAGGGCAGTGGGGACGGGGGAAACGGGGATGGGGGGAGTGCGGATGGGGGGAATGGGGATGGGGGGAGTGACAGGCCAGGAGGAGGCGCAGGAGGGGGATCAAGAGGGGGGGAAGAGGGAGGGGAGGGGGGAGAGAGAGGGAAGGGAGGGGAGAACGGAGAGATGTGGGTAGCCGGGGGAAACGAGGAGAACGGAGGGGACGGGTGGTTGCGGTGCATACGCAACCCGACTCTAGACTCATCCGTGTGCGAGGCAGGCATGATAGGCGTGTTCCCAGATAAGCTGCTCATGGCGCGTGGGGGGGAGGAGGTGCGGAGTGTTATGGGGCGTGTGGAGGAGGAGGAATACCCCATGTGCGATGAAGGGGCGTTCCAGGTGCTGCTGCAGGGCGTGGTGGAAGAGAGAGGTGGGGGGGATGGGGGAGGAGGAGGGGGACGGGGAGGCGGAGAGGGAGGGGGTGGGGGAGGGGGAGGGGGAGGGGGAGGGGGAGGCGGAGGGGGAGGGAGAGTGGGAGGGAAGAGACGCGGGTTGCGTGAGACGGGAGGGGTGGAGAAAAGTGGGGGAGCGGATGGGGGACAGGGGGGAAGTGGGGAGGGAGCCGGGGGAGCCGGGGGAGCCGGGGGAGACGCTGCAGGGGAGGGCGGTTGGTCGTTAGCGGTGGGACTAGCGCCGGCAAGGATAGAGGCGCTGGTGAACGAGCATGGCAACACACGGGATCTCCTAAGGAGCTTGCGCACTGCTGATCGGATCAAATGTGGCGTGGTGAGTGCGTAAGTGTGTGCGTGAGTGCGTGAGTGTGTGCATGCGTGCGTGCGTGCGTGCGTGCGTGCCTTTCAAGAATTTTCAAGAGTGACTCAGATATAGGCGGCTTCAAATCCACTGAGCTTGAGATTTCTGAGGAGCGTGTGCTGTGCGTCTGCCTCTGCCTCTGCCTCTGCCTCTGCTCTTCGCACGAACTGGCTCATTCTCAGGCCGTCAGTCACACTCCTCCCTCCCCTCCTCCCTACACCCACACCACACCACATCACACCAAACCACTCCCTGCCACTCAACACCCAACCCCACCACTTTGCACCGCAGGTGGAGCAGCGGCCAGTGCTGTTAGTAACGCGCTACGAGTATGTCAACCTGTACCACACCAGCACAGACTGGCAGAGTGCCTTCCATGCCATGCGCCTGCTGCACATCTCCGTGCGCCCCCTCGTGGTCTTCCTCGACGCCCACGCTAAGGTGGGGACGGGGAGGGTTGTGCGGGTGCTGTTAGGGTTGGTTCGACGAACCACGGAACCTACGGTGAAATGCGGAATGGCGGCGGAATGGAGCTCGTGGGAGATTCTAGAGTGATTTCGGTAGAAATCGGCCTACGGTGGACGTTGGAAGCTAAGGCGTGAAAAGCGGGAGAGAAATCGGGAAGAAACTGGAGAAATGAAGGAAGAAGAGTGGAGAAGAATCGAGAATGAGTTCGACGGGGGAAAATGTGGTTCGAGACCAAGGCGTGTTCGAGAAATTTCCAGATTCGGGCTCAAGGAGTGTTCGGTGAATTCGGTTCGGTTGCGTGTGCGACTCGGGGTGAAACGAGGCGCACGCGGTTACTTGGGAAACAAGTGAAGTTACGAATCGCATTTTGTGTCTTGCCTGACTATAAACCTGTTTGTACTCATTCTGGAAAGACAACATTGGACAACATTGAAACTTTGAGATTCTGAAAATTGCTGAAGTGTGTATTGACAACTTCAAGCAGAGCTGCGCATATCATTGGATTCGTGAGATCGTGGAGAACACGATAAGCAATAGCAAGTAGACTATTGCCGACTAAGGTGTTTACGATCCTAAGAACTGGTATCAGAGGTTGACGAACGGGCTCGTCGATTGTCGCGAATTCACTTGGTGCGCTAAGTGAAATTAGTGGAGAAGAGGAGTCGTTCACGCCTACGCTATGGGAGACGAGGCGAGTTCGGGTTCCAGTGTGAGTCTTGGAGACCCGCAGTTGAAGGCTCTTCTCGAGGCCCTTGCGAGTGGCCGATTGGTGGCGAAACCGACGATCGGGCTCAGTGAAGCCCAGCGCTTCAACGGAAGCAACTACAACGTGTGGCGAAAGAAGTTCATTCGAAGGGTAGAGGAGGTGGACCTCTTGCCGTACTACCGTCCCGACGAAGAGACGATGGAGGGAGTTGCGCCATCCCCGACGGATACGAAGGAGAAAATAGCGGCGTTCAAAAAACAAAGTAAGCAAGCGTTCTTTCAGCTTTGTCACTCAGTTGCCGATGGAATCGCGGTGGATTTGGACCAGTTTGCAGGGGAGCTGAACTCTGCACAGAAAGCGTGGGAGTACCTGGAGTCCACGTACATGGGCACCAACGATGTCAACAAGAAGGCGATCAGGAAGCAGCTGCTGATGCTGAGCATGGAGAAAGGCGAGAAAATCATCACCTACATCAACAGGGCGAAAAGCTACAACGACGATTTGCGGGTGATGGGAGCCGCGGAGACGGAGCATGAGATGATTGACTATATCATCCAAGGCCTTCCTAAGGAGTGGGAATCCGACATCGGTATGTTTACGTACCAACCGCCGGAGAGTTTAACGAAGCTGCAGGAGATTCTACAGTCGCTTGAGACGATGAAGGAGATGAGGAAAAAGAAAGCGGCAGCAGCAGCTAAGGAATTCGACGAGGAAAGGCCGGCTATGGTGAATGCAATGAAGGCGTTTGGAGCGTGCTACCAGTGTGGAAAGAGGGGGCATAAGGCGATAAACTGCTACGAAAATCCGCGAAGCAGAAACTACAAGGGCAAAGCGGTGGAGAACGAGAAAGGAGAAAATGGGGGAGCAGAGTGGCAACAGAAACGAGGTTTTGGCGGCAAGTGTGATTATTGTGGGCGCTACGGACATCGTGCCGCAGAGTGCTACTCCAATCCGAACAGCAGGAGCTACAAGGGTCCGTCGCAGCAGAGGATTGTGGCGGGTAAGGCGAATGTAGCGGAAGCCGAAAAGGAGGATGTGATTTTGGGAGGAGCGCATCGTGCGAACGTGGTGCGTTTACCGAAGGATGTTCGTCAGACGGACGGACGTGAGAAGACGGCATGGTTCATGGACAGCGGATGCACGCGTCACATGACATTCAGGTCAGATTGGATGGAGAACGTGAGGGAGTCGAGTGAGGATTATATACTGCAAGGTAACAGTGTGAAGTTGCCAGTGACAGGAGAGGGTGACGTGGTGCTGCAGAGTCCGTATGGAGAGGTGAAACTGGAGAGTGTGCTGCTGGTTGAGGATTTAAAGGTGAACTTGGTCAGTCAGTCACAGCTTGATGACTTGGGGTGCAAGATATTCTATGACAGTTGTGAGGTGACTGTGTTTGGTCCTGAGTGGGAGAAGTATGCTGATGGTTACTTCAGTGACGGGTTCTATGAGATGAACTTGGTCGCGATGAAGGGCATAGATGATTTCTATGAGGACCGAGAGTATCCTGAGATGGGAGAATTGGAGGAGTTATCGAATGAGGCTGATAAGAGCGAGGACACGGATGATACGGGAGCAAGTGTGGAGGCAGCAGAGGAGCAGGAAGAGGAGATAGTCACCATGGAGGCAGCAGCAGTGAATGGTGGAGATGGAGATGGTGTCAACACTTTTGCAGCAGCGATCGTGGTTGAAGATGAAGCAGTAAATGCAAAGTGTGTGGGAGTCGCTGTGAAAGGGGACATCATGGTGAAGGGATCAAAGGCGAATGCAACTGCAAAGGGTAGAGTGCTTACGAAAGAGGAACACGTTGAGGGGTATGAGACCCGAGAGGTGTTGCGTGTTGAGATGCCGAGGAGCAGCGAGAGGATCAAGAAAATCTCTCAAGGTTTGGATGTCAAGGCGCTCAACTTCAAGACACGTAAGCAGAGGTTCAAGGTGCAGGAGCTGCAGGGGAGTGTGAATCCGACCTAGACCCTGTGAAGGCTACAAGGAGCAGGGGAGGAGTGCGAGTGGAGTTCGTGGTTGACGAACCACAGGGGAGATTGTTAGGGTTGGTTCGACGAACCACGGAACCTACGGTGAAATGCGGAATGGCGGCGGAATGGAGCTCGTGGGAGATTCTAGAGTGATTTCGGTAGAAATCGGCCTACGGTGGACGTTGGAAGCTAAGGCGTGAAAAGCGGGAGAGAAATCGGGAAGAAACTGGAGAAATGAAGGAAGAAGAGTGGAGAAGAATCGAGAATGAGTTCGACGGGGGAAAATGTGGTTCGAGACCAAGGCGTGTTCGAGAAATTTCCAGATTCGGGCTCAAGGAGTGTTCGGTGAATTCGGTTCGGTTGCGTGTGCGACTCGGGGTGAAACGAGGCGCACGCGGTTACTTGGGAAACAAGTGAAGTTACGAATCGCATTTTGTGTCTTGCCTGACTATAAACCTGTTTGTACTCATTCTGGAAAGACAACATTGGACAACATTGAAACTTTGAGATTCTGAAAATTGCTGAAGTGTGTATTGACAACTTCAAGCAGAGCTGCGCATATCATTGGATTCGTGAGATCGTGGAGAACACGATAAGCAATAGCAAGTAGACTATTGCCGACTAAGGTGTTTACGATCCTAAGAGGTGCGGGGGGAGCACGGACTGGCAGAATGCCTTCCATGCGCCCCTTGTGTGCCTGTTCTGCTGCACATCTCTGTGCGGCCCCTTGTGGTCTTCCTCGACGAGCATGCAAAGGTGTGTGAGGGGTGAGAGAGGGGTGAGAGAGGGGTGAGAGAGGGGTGAGAGAGGGGTGAGAGAGGGGTGAGAGAGGGTGCATGCATGCATGCAACGGACTGGCGTTTTGAGAAAGGAAAGGGGGAAGCGAGCACCAGCACGGACTGGCAGAGCGCCTTTCAAGCCATGCGCCTACTGCACATCTCCATGTGCCCCCCGTGGTCTTCCTCGACGCACATGCCAAGGTACACGCAGGGTGGGGATGGGGAGGGGTGCTGGGTGGGTGGGTGGGTGGCAGGGTTGTGGGAAGATACGGATATAGCAAGGTTTCAATAAAGCCTGCTGCACATCTCCGTGCGGCCGCTCGTGGTCTTCCTAGACGCCCATGCCTAGGTGCGCAGTTCAGGTTGCCTGGCTGGCGTTTTGAGCGGGGGTGTGGGAGGGGTGTGTGAGGGGTGTGGGAGGGGTGTGGGAGGGGTGTGTGAGGGTGCATGGGTCATGCCAAGTTGTTGAAGGTGGCTGATTCTCAGTAGAAAAAGGGGGTCCGAAATGGTGATATCTTAAAGCCTTTCCCTTCGGCCATGGCGTGGTGCTGAGTGGAGGGTGGCTGGGAGGGTGGACAGGCTGGGAGGGTGGACAGGCTAGGAGGGTGGACAGGCTGGAAGGGTGGACATCACTCACCCTAGACGAGGCGTGGGAAACGTTGTTCAGCCCGTATCGCTCCATCAAGGAGTATCAGCAGCACCTGCCCTCCGGCTCTGCACTCTCTTTCCCAAGCACCTCCCTTCTTCCCCTTATGCCGTTTTACCAAACCAACAGGGCAACCTAGATGAGGCGTGGGCAACGATGTTTGGCCCGTACCGTTTCATCAAAGAGTGCTTTTGAGAATTCTCAAAAGCCATACCAATGTATCGTTTCATCAAGGAGTGCTTTTGAGACGTCTCAAAAACAACCTCGCTACACGTGAGAATTCTCAAAAGTCATACCAATGTACCGTTTCATCAAGGAGTACCAGCAGCACCTTCCCCGCGCTTCACCATCCCCGCCCCATCCCCTCCCCCTCTCCTCTCTCTCCACCCTTGTTCCAACAGGGCAACCTAGACGAGGCGTGGGCGACGATGTTCGGCCCGTACCGATTCATCAAGGAGTATCAACACCACCTGCCTCCTGGCACAGCGGTGTGCTTCCATCATGCAGTCTTTGTGCCCGTCGGATATGCCACGCCCATCTTCCACTCCTACGTCAAGGAGGCCGTGCCTGTGAGGAGGTGCGTTGCGAGAGAGACAGACTCAAAGTGTTTGTGCCCGTGGGATATGATATGCCACGCCCATCTTCCACGCCTACGTCAAGGAGGCTGTAGCAGTGAGGAGGTGCGTTGCGGTGAGACACACTTAGAAGTTATCGTTGTTCCATCACGCCGTGTTTGTGTTTGTGTTTGTGTTTGTGTTTGTGTTTGTGTTTGTGCTTGTGCTTGTGCCTGTGTTTGTGTTTGTGCCTGTGTTTGTGTTTGTGCCTGTGTCTGTGTTTGTGTTTGTGCCTGTGTTTGTGTTTGTGCCTGTGTTTGTGTTTGTGCCTGTGTTTGTGTTTGTGCCTGTGTTTGTGTTTGTGCCTGTGTTTGTGTTTGTGCCTGTGTTTGTGTTTGTGCCTGTGTTTGTGTTTGTGCCTGTGTTTGTGTTTGTGCCTGTGTTTGTGTTTGTGTCTGTGTTTGTGTTTGTGTCTGTGTTTGTGTTTGTGTTTGTGTTTGTGTTTGTCTTTGTGTTTGTGTTTGTGTTTGTGTTTGTGTTTGTGTTTGTGTTTGTGTCTGTGTTTGTGTTTGTGTTTGTGTTTGTCTTTGTGTTTGTGTTTGTGTTTGTGTTTGTGTTTGTGTTTGTGTTTGTGTTTGTGCCTGTGTTTGTGTTTGTGCCTGTGTTTGTGTTTGTGTCTGTGTTTGTGTTTGTGTCTGTGTTTGTGTTTGTGTTTGTGTTTGTGTTTGTCTTTGTGTTTGTGTTTGTGTTTGTGTTTGTGTTTGTGTTTGTGTTTGTGTTTGTGTTTGTGTTTGTGTTTGTCTTTGTCTTTGTGTTTGTCTTTGTGTTTGTGTTTGTGTTTGTGTTTGTGTTTGTGTTTGTGTTTGTGCCTGTGTTTGTGCCTGTGTTTGTGTTTGTGTTTGTGCCTGTGTTTGTGCCTGTGTCTGTGTTTGTGCCTGTGTTTGTGTTTGTGCCTGTGTTTGTGTTTGTGCCTGTGTTTGTGTTTGTGCCTGTGTTTGTGTTTGTGCCTGTGTTTGTGTTTGTGCCTGTGTTTGTGTTTGTGCCTGTGTTTGTGTTTGTGCCTGTGTTTGTGTTTGTGTCTGTGTCTGTGTTTGTGTTTGTGTCTGTGTTTGTGTCTGTGTTTGTGTTTGTGTCTGTGTCTGTGTCTGTGTTTGTGTTTGTGTTTGTGTTTGTGTCTGTGTCTGTGTCTGTGTTTGTGTCTGTGTCTGTGTCTGTGTCTGTGTTTGTGTCTGTGTCTGTGTCTGTGTCTGTGTCTGTGTCTGTGTCTGTGTCTGTGTCTGTGTCTGTGTCTGTGTCTGTGTCTGTGTTTGTGTTTGTGTTTGTGTTTGTGTTTGTGCCTGTGGGTGTGTTTGTGTTTGTGTTTGTGCCTGTGGGTGTGTTTGTGTTTGTGTTTGTGCCTGTGGGTGTGTTTGTGTTTGTGTTTGTGCCTGTGGGTGTGTTTGTGTTTGTGTTTGTGCCTGTGGGTGTGTTTGTGTTTGTGTTTGTGCCTGTGGGCCCCGGTCGGCTACGCCACGCCCATCTTCCACTCCTACGTCAAGGAGGCCGTGCCTGTGAGGAGGTGCGTGTTGAGGCGAGACACACTCAAAGGTCGTCGTGCTTCCACCACGCACTCACTGTTTGTGCCCGTCGGCTACGCCACGCCCACCTTCCACGCCTACGTCAAGGAGGCTGTAGCAGTGAGGAGGTGCGTGTTGTGGTGAGGCACACTCAATAGTCATCGTGCTTCCATCACGCCTGTGGGTGCCCGTGGGTCACATGGACTACGCCACGCCCATCTTCCACTCCTACGTCAAGGAGGCTGTAGCAGTAAGGAGGTGCGTTGCGGCGAGAAGAGAGCAGAGCTTTATAGAGTCACCGTGCTTCCATCATGCACACACTGTGTGTGCCTCAAAAGAGTCTGGCACTGGTAGTAGGCGCGCCACCGCGCTCACAAAGAAAGTCAGCCAGGGTGAGTCCACTCAGCAGCAGCTGCCCTGCGGCTCTGCGCTGTGTGCTTTCACGTCACTATGTACCAAGGGGCGACCCTTCCGGTTAGAAGGTGTTTTGTAAAGGTACGTACTTCGTTCTGCTCCACCTGTCGTATCACATAGGATCTATGGGGCATGGGGCATGGGGCATGGGGCATGGGGCATGGTGCATCAGGCATGGTGCATGGTGCATGGGGCATAGGGCATGGGGCATGGGGCATGGTGCATGGGGCATGGGGCATGGGGCATGGTGCATGGTGCATGGTGCATCAGGCATGGTGCATGGTGCATGGTGCATGGGGCATGGGGCATGGGGCATGGGGCATGGGGCATGGTGCATGGTGCATGGTGCATGGGGCATAGGGCATGGGGCATGGGGCATGGTGCATGGGGCATGGGGCATGGGGCATGGTGCATGGTGCATGGTGCATCAGGCATGGTGCATGGTGCATGGGGCATGGGGCATGGGGCATGGGGCATGGTGCATGGTGCATGGGGCATGGTGCATCGGGCATGGGGCATGGGGCATGGTGCATGGCGCATGGGGCATGGTGCATGGTGTGTGGGGCATGCTGTATTGGGCCCCATGAATACCACCTCACGCATCACACGGGACATTTTCCATCAACCCGTCTCCTCCTCTCCCTTCCCTCCACGCTCCCCTCCCTCCGCTCTCCCCTCCCTCCCAGGTGTGTGGCGGACACAGCAGTGCAGGGAGGCAGGGAGTGGGGCGTAACACCATTCGGATCCACATCGCGAATCACCGAATTCGCCGAGTTTGTCATCAAGTCCCACGGCGTAGGCCTGCACACCGGCCCCTGGTCCTTCCCCCTGCTCCCTGCCCCGCCGCCTCGCCTCCTCCCCTCACTCCGCCGCCAACAAAACGGGACGGCGCATGCCCTTGCTGAGCATGACTCGAACCCCCGTGACCCTCATACTGCCACCGGTGCTGCTGATGCTGCTGATGCTGGTGGTGGCGCTGCTGCTGCTGCTGCTGCTGCTGCTGCTGCTGCTGCTGCTGCTGCTGCTGCTGGTTTGACTCGCATGGAGTTCTTGTGGTGGAGGGATAGAGCAGTGGCAGGGCCGTCTGTGGTCAACAAACTGGGGTATTTCCCTTTAGTAGACTGGGGGAAGTTGGGTGAGGGCAATCCAGCCCCGCAGCAGCAGGGGCAGCAGGGACAGGAGGAGGGAGGGCAACGGGGGAGGCACTTGTTATGGAAATTGGAAGGGGGGAAGGAGGGAGAGAGGGAGGAGGACAGGCAGGTGGAGAAGCTGTGGGAGGAGAAGCAAAGGACGCAGCCGTGGTGGCAGCAGCAGCAGCGGGAGCAGGAGAAGGAGGAGAAGCAGGGGAAGCCACAGGAGCAGGAGCAGCAGCAGGGGCAGCAGCAGCAGCAGGCAGGTCTCCGGAAAATTCTGGAGCAACACGCTCAGCAGCAGCAGCAGCAGCAAGGAGAAGAGCAACAACTTGTATCTATCGACCTCTTAGAGCAAACCGCTTGGAGCCGGCCCGTGCGCGTGCTGGTGATCCGGCGAGACTTCTTCCTGGCGCACCCGCGCATGGAAGACAGCGGGTGGGTGGAGGAGCGAGTGGAGGGCGTTAACGACCTCGTACGGTCGCTCAAGCAGTGGGCGTGGGAGCGCGGCGGGCTGAGACTGCTGGATACAGCAGAGAGGGTGGACAGGATGGGATCCGTGGTGGGTGGGGGGAATTGGTGGAGGATGAATGGGGGGAGTGGGAGGGCGGGAGGGGCGGTGGGGAGCTGGGGGGTGAGAGGAGGAGGGAAAGGTGGGGGGAGGAGGAGGGGAAGGGAGGGAGGTCCTTCGGGTGATCCGGTTTCTGTTGTTGGGCCTGTTATTCCGGGTGATTCTGCATCTGCCGCTGCTGCTGCTGCTGCTGCTGCTGCTGCTAGAAGGAGAAGAGAACAGCAACAGGGGTGGGAAGGAGGAGGAGCGGGCAGGAAGAAGAGGCACAGACGGAGCAGCAGGAAGGAGCAAAAGCGGCGGGATATGTTGGGCGGCGACAGAGGCAAGACTTTGAGCAAGCCGCACAGGAGGCAGCTGCAAATGCGTCACGCTGATTGGCTCAACCCAGATATGATCTCCAACCCCCACCAACAGCAGAAGCAGCAGCAGGAAGGGCTACAGGCAGGAGTGAACGAGGCGCGAGCAGCAGAAGCAGAATCATCAACAGCAGCAGCCCCCCGGCCACGGCTCGTCTTTATTCTCAACGGCACCATGACAGCCTGGTCCTTCCGGCAGCAGATGGAGGCTGTATACTGGGCTGATGTGATTGTGGGGGCGCACGGGGCTGGTCTCACTCATGTCATGTACATGCGCCCGGGATCCGCTCTTGTGGAGCTACGGCCGATGTCGGACGCGAGGGACCATTACCAGCTGCTTGCGAATCACCGCGGGTTGCGGTATGTTAGAATAGAGCCGAACGACAAGGGGGGTGTAGATGTGAATGATGTGACGCGGGCGTTGAGGACTCTATTGGAAGAGGATGTGTGATGGATGGAGTCTGCTTTTAAGTCGACTCAAAATGTGACGCGGGCGTTGAGGACACTATTGGAGGAGGATGTGTGATTGATGAGGGAGTTAAGGTCGTTCAGAGGTGGCTGAGTTGGGTGGTGGAAAGGGATGTGTGGTTATGAGGAAAAGGATGCAGTCTACGCAGTCTCGTATGTTGGGCTGAGAAGAAGCCCTTAGGATCTTTTCAAGGCTAAGATCTCTTGTAGTAGGAATATTGTAGTTTGCGGAAGCGTAATATCAGAGTTTGCTGAACCACCTTGTACTGGTATGTGAGAACAAAGATAAGTTGATAATAGCAGAGAGATACAAAGCTTTTATATGATAACAAAGGAATATGAAAGGTTTTACTTAATATGTTTCTGCTGTTGCGGTTCGATACAGTGACGACTCGGGTAACTGCTCAGTATCGAGTCAGTTATGTGTCCTTGCTGTCGCACTGTAATTTTCGTCGAGTCAAAGGTCAGCGACCTTTGACCTTCGCGTAACCTCCAGCTGTTACTTTTGTTGACTCGTGTGTTGCTTCACTGTACCGTATGGCCCCGGATATAGGCGCCGTCCGATTAAAGGCGCCGGCGCTTCTATCTGGAGCATGGCGCTTATGGCCGAAACTCGATTATAAGCGCCCCCCCCTGGAAAACCTTTACTTATTATAAACGCACGTACATTTTTAAATTATAAATCTGTTTAAAACGGTAACGAGTTTCATTTTCGCAGCGAGCCAAATTTCATCTTCGCTTCGTTTGACTCGCGAAGACCTGACTGGCTGCGCGTCCAATCAGGATGTGCTGGCATGCCTGCAAAGTGAGGTGAACTTGCTGGTGTGTAGGAAGCAGAATCGCTTGCTTCGTTCTGTGCTCCAGTCTGTGCTCCCAACACAAGGCCAGCATGGCCTTGTTGTCTACGTACAGAACTGGAGGAGAACGAGGCGGCTCTCCTAGGTCAGTCAGCAGGTAGGTGAGCCAGCGTAGCTCCTGTGCAGCCATGGCCCCAGCGTAGATCTCAGCGTCACAACTGGAGCTGAGAACAGAAGAAGAGCGGGTAGACCGCCAAGAGACAGAACCGAAGCCAAGACTGAAGGTGTAACCCTGTGACGACCGCTGCGTAGTCAAGTCGTCAACCTAGGAGGCGTCACCGTGACCAGTGAGGACAACTCGAGCCCGTCCTCCAAGCACAAGCCCCATGCCTGATGTACTGCACAAGTATCGCAACACCCTCTTCGCAGCATCCCAGTGCACCTTTCGGTGCCTGCCGGGAGCCACGTAACGAGCCAGAAGGCTGAGAGGGTATGCGAGGTCAGGTCGTGTGCAAGTCATCAGGTACATGAGGCAGCCCACAAGCTCTGGATATGGGCCACTCGGCTCTACGGACTCGTCCGAAGGTGGAGCTGAGAGCGAGTGACCGGTAGGCAGAGGAGTGGACTGTGGCGAGGAGTACGTGAAGCCGAAGCGCTGAAGGACCTGCTGCACCATGTGTGACTGAGTCAAGGTAATGGTGCGCTGTGCTCTGTCCCGCGTGATCCGCAAGCCAAGATAGCTTGTCAGCTCACCCAGGTCTGTGCACGTGTGTCTCTTCTGCAGCTCGGACTTTACGTCGGCGAGTGCCTCAGTGTCAGCAGTAGCAAAGACGAGGTCGTCTACATACACGAGAACGTAGAACGGCGGCAGAGTAGTGTCAGTGCGTAAAAACAGAGAAGGGTCAGAAGTGGAAGGAGCAAAACCAAGAGCAGCAAGAGTCATCCTGAGTGTGTCGTACCACTCACGGGGTGCCTGGCGGAGACCGTAGACTGGCCGCCGGAGGCTCCACTGGGTACTAGCAGGAAACGACCCAGTGAAGCCAGGTGGGCGGCGCAGCCAGATCTCCTCGTGCAGGCTGCCCTGGAGGAAGGCTGTGCTGAAGTCAAGCGAGTGGAGCTCACAGTCACACTGAGCAGCAACGTGCAGCAGTACCCGAAGAGTGGTCATCTTCGGGGTAGGGGAGAAGGTCTGAAAGAAGTCAACTCCCTGTCGCTGACTGAAGCCACGTGCAACGTAACGCGCCTTGAAGGCAGGCGGAGAACCCGGCGGCCGCTTCACCCTGAAGATCCACATGCCACTGACGATTTTCGCCCCAGGTGGGGGAACCTCGTCTACGTAGGTGCCAGTGGACTTCCAGGAAGCCATCTCTGTGTCCATGGCTGCCTGCCACTGAGAGGAGTAGGGACCCTCTATCGCCTCTGCGTAAGAGCGTGGGGTCGGGATGTCTGGTGCATCCGGGTCTCCCTCAGGAGCAAGCAGCATGGACACGAGATGAGGTACAGTAGCGGCAAAGCACTCAAACTCCTCCTGTCTGTCCTCAAGAACGTCCATGCCAAGAGCACACTCACCCCTGACGGACGGAGGACAGACAGACGCAGACGCAGACTCAGCAACAAGACTAGTGGCGTAGTCTAGGCGACAAGCTGCAGCAAAGTCAACCAGCTCAGCAACAAGAGCAGACGCAGCAGTGGACTCAAACAGAGGGTCAGTGACAGCAGTGGCCAGAAAGCGCAAGACAGCCGGACTAGAAGCACGTAGGGAGTCAGACGCAGGGTCCGGACCGGAAGGAAGAGAGGACGCAGGAGGAGACGGCAGAGGGACACGCTGTGGAGCAGTGGAAGGACGCAGAGTCATAGAGTGAGTGCCAGGGACAGGAGGAGGACGCGGACGCGAAACACGACCAGCGCGAACAGTACGGACAGGCGACGCAGAACGAGACTCAGGCGACACAGGACGTGACTCAGGCACACGACGCTCCGTAAGTCCTCTAGTCGGTCCAGAGTAAGGAGAGGGACCATGCAGCGGAGAGGCCGGCGGTAACTGCGACTGGGACTGGACAGGCGGTGGACTCAGGAAAGGAGGAGGAGGACCAGGAGAAGGCGGGGAACCAAGAACCTGCTGAAGGAGTGGAACGTAGTACGGCCGCGGCCGCGCAGCGCCTCCAGAAACAGCAGAGACAGAACCGGTACCCTCAGCCCCAAGGTCTCTAGTCCTAGCAGCACCTCCAGCAGCTCCAGCACCAGCAGCACCGCCAGCAGCTCCAGCAGCACCTGCAGCCGCTCCAGCAGCTCCAGCAGCTCCAGTACCAGCAGCACCTCCAGCACCAGCAGCACCTCCAGAAGCTCCAGCAGCACCTCCAGCAGCTCCAGTAGCTCCAGCACCAGCAGCACCTCCAGCAGCTCCAGCAGCTCCAGTAGCTCCAGCACCAGTAGCACCTCCAGCAGCTCCAGCAGCACCTCCAGCAGCTCCAGCAGCTCCAGCACCAGCAGCACCTCCAGCAGCTCCAGCAGCTCCAGCAGCACCAGCACCAGCAGCACCTCGACAGCGCCGAGAGTACCACTCACGAAGCTGCTGTGGAGAGAGGGGCTCCCGACGCGACGGGACACCTAGAGCACCTCCTGACTCAGCACGTGCAGGCTCAGACCTCCAGGCGCAATACCCTCAGGCTCTACACGCCCAGGCTCAGCACCCCCAGGCTCAGCACGCCCAGACTCAGCACCCCCAGGCTCCACACGCTCAGGCTCAGCACCCCCAGTCCCCGCACCCCCAGTCTCAGCACCCCTAGCAGCACCTGAGTCGACAGCTACCTCGACCGCTCGGCAGGGTCTACCTGGGACACACCTGAGGGGGCAGGACCCTGAGGGGGGAGGGGGTCTACCGGGGGAGTACCTGGTGCTAGGAAGAGCGGCGGGGGGGGGAGAGAGGCAATGCGGTAGGGAAAGAGACGGTAGTAAGACACCGACTCGTCAAACGTGACGTCCTGAGAGGACAGAACACGACGCGAGGTGGGGTGGTAGAACTGCCACCCGGGTGCGTCAGGAGGGAAGCCAAGGAAGACACAGGGAACGGCACGTGAGGACAGCTTGTCCGCTGAAGTATCGCGGACAAAAGCTCGAGATCCCCAGACACGGAACGCGGACGCATCACCAACCTTCCCCGTCCACCGCAGAGTAGGTGTGGTCTCCGGCAAGGAGACACGAGGCTGAAGGTTGATCTGATGCGCAGCGTACTGAACCGCGAACGGCCACAGAAAATGGGGAGCAGCCGCATGGATCATGGACGTACGAGCGACGTCCATGACCATGCCAATGCGACGCTCAGCAATCCCATTTTGCTGTGGGGAGGCCAGAAGCGTGAACGTCTGGCGGATGCCCTCCGCACGACAGAAGGCACTCAGGAGGTCGGAGGAAAACTCACCACCTCTGTCTGAGTGCAGAAGCAGAACAGGAAGGTCCGAGCCGAAACTCTCGCTGAGCTAGCGACGAGTACCGCGGATCCAGTCGATCAACACCTCAGGGACCTCACCCTTGCTGCGCAAGGGGAAGACTGTGGTGTAACGCGAGTAGTCGTCAACGACCAGAAGGAAGTAACGCTCGTGACCCTGTCCACGGACGCGGGCTGGGCCCCACACGTCCATGTGAAGAGTCTGCAGAGGAGCCTCAGTCGGAGGGAACGTGGAGGAGTGAGGAGCGGCGCGCTGCCGGCCCTCGACACAGGGAACACAGGTAGGGGCAGGCCCCGGAGGAAGGGGAGGGAGGGACCGGGGTAGACCCGAGACAAGGGTACGGGAGGCCATACCTCGAAGACGAGGCAAGGAGGGGTGACCAAGGCGGTGGTGCCAAAGGAGAGTCTCGTGCGACAGAGGACGACACGAGCAGGGGGAAGACGAAGGACTAGACCTGGACGCGGCAGCAAACACCTGACTAGACGCAGCTACCTGACCAGACGCAGAGACCGGAGGAGGCGCAGTAGTCAGTGTGTACAGACTCGACCCTGGCCGACGGGTGAACGTGGCCAGGTGGCGGCCCATCCGAGAGCAAGTGCAGTGGGTCACACGCTGACCTCCAGGGGCGAACTGGTCAACCCACGCGTCCTGGAGGTCAGCTCCACTCACCAAGTTTGTAGAGAACGAGGGGAGGTGGAGTCCCGACAGCAAGCCCGACGGGGCCGCAGGACACGGTAGAA